AGATTCTAAATTTATTCGTAATACAATGCAGAGGGTACAACTTGCGAATTCTTCATTGAAAGTTATCCTCCTATGAATTCATTCAGAAAGTTCAAAATTTTATGGAAAATGGAAGTATTAAAGCTGCGAGAGTTTTTCGGTTACTTCGGAAATATTTAGAGGATGCATTTTGCTCGGGGTGCACAATTTTGCGAGATACTCCGGATTCATATCCTCGAGGACTTAGATTTCTTGCGTCCAATAATTTAGATTGATGAATCCAAATTTACAATATAAATTGCTTGGGATGCAGAAAATCCTTATGGAAGCAGAGAAAGAAATTTTCAGAACCCATTTACCGGAAACGTTTTTTGTTTAAAAATAAACTATCGAGTTCGATATCCTATCCAATCCGATACCGGAACATCTTGCGTACGCTGGTAACAGATTTTCTAGATGACTTACCTCTAGCTGTTAGAGATTATTGGTACTATCTCGACAGAGGCAAACCTCACTGCAGAAACTTTATGGAATGTTTGAGGACCGCTGGATCAGTCGACTAGAGCCATGGGATTCGTCCCATAAGAAAGGAAGGAATAGGATCCACTTTGTGGGTTCCTACATTCGTAAGAGAAACATTAGTGTACGCTCATTGGATATTGTATAGAGGCTATTGCGGAAGTCACTAACCAATTCGATCACTTTCTGGCTTCATTTCGGTTGCCACGTTAAACGCTGAACAAAAAAAAAGCACAGGATTGCAAAACGCGCAACTCTTGTTCCATGACGTGCAAATACTTCCGTTCGAAAATGCAATTTCCCACTCAGCAATGATAATACGGCTCTTGCTAGTTAAGATCAAACATTAATTAGCATTATCTAGATGCAAACGTTACATACGGTTAGTTAGAGCAAACGTCTTTTATTAATTTGCCGGCAGATAACGACTCGAAACTAATTATGTTAGTGGCACGCTATTCGATCGTTTAACGAATTTGGAATTTCGCCCCTTTCGTGCCACGTCCTAAGTGTGTCTTTAACGTAACTTATTGATTTTATCGGGTTAGCTTTAGGTGCGAACTAATCCGAATCGATTTGTTTTAATTTAATAAATCGCACCAGTAGTAGTTTTGTCGTATCGGGTCTATGGTAGCGGTGGACAAATTTTACCGTTAGGCAGAACCGAAATGAGGGATCGATAACTAGCCTAACGAAAGGACGATAATCTGGTAATATTTTTTAATGCTTAGGAGCCACTCCAGGAATCTATAATGTTTGAAATAGTTTTAATGTTTGAAACGTTCAAATGGTAATACCGTAGTAGTAGTAGCGAGAATATTGCTGAGAATCCGGGAACATCCATTCGATGCAAGAAAGGCAAATTTCAAGTGCTCTCTACAGCATATACTCGCAATAGATCAAGATTTCAAGTTTGATGGTTTTGTTATTCGCAAAAATTTTTTGGTTGGAAGAACCCACATGTAATTGTCGAACAACAAATACACCTACATCCTGTCACTGTTTATTGCAGACTTCGGACTCAAGGCATCATTGGATCATCATCCTTTTTTGAAAATGAGGCCGGTGAGCCAATAACTGTTACTGGTGCTGTATGTCGAGACATAGAAGTATACCCATATGTGGTTTCAACAACAAATTGCCACATGCCAAACATCTAGTGATTGTCTCTGTAACCAGAATAGGTTACAGAGACAATCACAAAGGTCATCAAATCAACAAATCATCAAAGGTCCATGTGGGTGAGACCACTACCACCCGAACATAGCAAGACTAGATTGAACGCTTCATCGACCAAACTCAGTCTTAATTAAGCAGGGAAGTCGTAAAAATATTCATGTAAAGACTGCGTGGAAACCATTTGTTCGATATGTTATTCCGTACATATGCACTTTATTTTGCCTTAACATCCCGATAACAACAGAAAAGTTTCACAATTTTTTTATACGTAAATTTACCTCACAGTCATTCTGAAATTCCACTCCTGTCGACGGCCAGACGTTGGCTGATAATAACTTTGAAACACAGATAGGGACCTCATATCCAAGAAATTTGTCAGAAAAATGCTAATTTGACCTGAACCGATTTGTAGAGTTCACTATAAGTAAACAAGTAGAGACGAGGTAACTAGCAATCGGCTTGAATCATCGTGCCAGTGTGAGGCTCAGACAGCATGAAAAAAAAAAGATTTTCAAGGTCAGTGGTTGGAACGGAACCCGATTAGAAGGGTAAAACTTTACTGAGCATTTTTTCTTTTTAGTTTGTTATTACTTTTTATAAACTTTATTTTTCAGAGTCTAATTTTGAGCTTTGCAGTGAAGTACTGGTTTTGTGAAGCATTTAAAACGTATAGGCCCTCTTATCTACAAATCGAATATTAATATTGTTAATACTTAATAAGAGACTATATGCTATTAAATGAAGTACAGTAACATTTTGGGAATTGGAATACACCATTAAAAAAAATAGTATGCGGAAGTATTGGTTTAAAAATAAAAAGTCGTGTGACGTTCTAGTCTCCATCAATTCGGAAATTAACTGTAAAACCTATTACGTCGAGGCACGTTACGGCGACTCCAAAAATTCCCCGCCGAAGCGAAATAAATAACCTCCATTTGTCACGAGGGACGCATTAACTGCAAACCAAAAATGCCGATTTCGAACGCACCTGCATTAAAGATTTTTCGTGTCGTTTGACGTAAATCAAATAAATTGACATGTTCTGGATGTGCGGGCACCGTTTTCAATCACGCGTTATCTGGCCGGCCATTTATTTAGTGACGTTTTATGTTTAAAACAAACCAATTGGACCTAACGCGCGATGCGCGGAATTTTTCCGCTGTTCCGATTTATCGCCGTAAATAATATGAGAGAAACGATATATTTATAAATATAAATGTTAAATTTAAATATATAGCGGTTTCCATTATGTAATTCGCCGCGGTTCGGTTTGTTTTTTTATAAAGAATAGTGCGATGTTATGCGGTAAAACGTTATTTATTGATAATTCAATTTAAAAAACTATAGAGTCAAACAGTGGTTTCCTCTATCACACAAGGTCGTTCAGAGAAACCGCGTTTTTTTCGCGTAAGCATTACGTTTTTTATTTTCAAAAATATTTTTGTTTTAATTACAAGTAAATGAAGGAATAAGATCGGTATCTGCTATGGTGGTGCAAATTATTAAAGAAATATTGTCGATAGACGTGATGGTGGCTGAAAGAGTTACACGTACGAAAATAGGACGGGAGACAAATGGCACTGCTTGGACTAGACGCCTTGAATCTAGGTGGGATGTAAACATCGTAATCTATACTACTACTTAACACAGGTTCGCACTGCTATGACATTATACAAACAGATTTGGTAGGGACACAAACGACGAATGATTTTATTGTTTGAGTGGAGAACTGTTAATGCAATACATGGGAAATGTATAGGAAGTAGACCCAGTCCTTACATCATTGCTTCGAACCTAGTGATAGCAGGAAAAACTGGTAGGAAAAGAAAAAGATGAATTGGAGAAACCGAACCGTGGTATGCCATCATAGGAAATTGTGACCTCCCGATTTGTTTAAATTTATGTCTGACGACGATTCCGGTCACACCTGGAATCACACTTGGAGGTAAACATGATCATATAGAATCCCGTACAACAGTGTGCAAGGACAAGTGTCAACAAGGACAATAAAAAAAATGAAACAATAACTATCACCTTCTTATAATATCAGGCAAGTAAACTCCTTCTTTCTGATCGCAAATTGCCTACCTTTCTTGAAAGGGCATCGCCCTTAAAATTATTTCATCTGGTACTCTTGCGATTTCTTTACAAATAGCACCTTTCAGTTCTGTATCTTGCAACGCCGATAGAGGTAGTGGAAGCTTAACGAAGTTACACGTATGAAAATAGAATTTGAGACAAAAGGCACTAGTAAAGATATTAGTATCTCGGTGAACTGTGAACATCGTAATCTATGCTACTGCTTGACAAAGGTTGCCACTGCCCATGGTATTTTTAGACATTATACAAACAAAGAATGATTTTATTGCTAGGGTGAAGACAAATGAACTGTTAAGCAATACATTCAATTAAAGTTTTCGACACGAGAATTACACCGAATACAATAGTGAAGTTTAGTGTAAAGTGCACTCGTTCTTCCACAGTATCTAATAATTTTAAGAGTGATTCGCAACTTCCAAGAAGAATTAGCAATTTGCGATCACCACGAAGCGCGACTCTAGTTCGATATTAATATCCGATATTAAAAAATGTACAATTATTGCTTGGCCTCACCTTGTAGCAGAGATATTTTATAAATTTGAATTTCCTATTGGTTTAAAGATAGTTACAAATAGCATAAATAAATTTTGAGAATTTTTTTTTTCCCTCAGTTTAACGCCATTCAGATGATCTTTGCGTAAGTCCATAATATTTTACTTGCGCATCCTAAACTAATTACGATGATTTACGGTGATTTATTGAGTATTTAGGAGGATTTACTTTCATTTACGATAAATTACTTGAGAATTAATTAATTAATAACTAACCGAAACTAACTATACTTAAAGATTATGTAAGTTTTAAAAAATAACAAATGACTTTCATATTTCAGTAGTGCATTAGATTATAGATTACAGAAAGCAAGGTAATTCCGAGGAACTACGGCGAACAGTGGAATTCCAACTAATTGCGCAGGAATTCCCCTAATAATTTCAGAGAAATACATGAACATTCTCCATCTGCTGTTACCCCACGGGTTATTCGATCTTAACTTGATTCATTGACCACTTAGATTACAATTGTAATGCTCTGGGAACTCTTACGTAAGTTTAGCTCTGAAATGTTTAGTTGATAAATCAACGCTTTGGCTGTATAATCGGATAACAAAGCGTTGAATGGCAACAGCCTCTGAGCAAAATTTCATCCAAAAACGTGAAAACCTTGATTTCAATGCAACGTAACACTTGTTCAACCTTTTTTAAATATTACCCCTTTTCTTTCAGATCCTCCGGAAATCGTGACCAAACCGCGGAACCTGCAAGTTAAGGCCGGAGGCATAGCGGCATTTTATTGCGCAGCAAGGGGAGACCCACTGCCCCAGATACAGTGGAAGAAGAACGGCAAGAAAGTGTCCAGTAAGTCCTTAAAACAATATCAAAGAAAATGAACTATATTCGGTTCAACATTTTTTTTTGTTTTAACGATACATGTATTTATATAACCTCAAATTGTAGGATCGCTATCCATTATTCATGATTTTTAAATAGATGGTCGCTATTGATCAAAGTTTACTATCTAGATGTGCAACATAATTTCCCTAAAAATGACGCAAAAATAAAGGCCATTCTACAACTGCTATTCAGCACATCTAGACCAATAAAATAACTCCTGACCTTCATTACCGACCAAAAGCTTTACTGCAAATATTTTATATATAATGTATCTTTATAATATTAATACAACACTTGGACAATTGGTGACATTGAAATATTATTTTTAAGATTTCAAAACTTGAGATAGATCGGAATACTTGTCAATTAAGAGTTATAGGCAAGGTAGATCTGATTCTCGTTTTTTCGGAACTTTCCGCTTCCGATCAGGTTGACTTGAAAAGCACTTTAGATGTGGTAAAATGAAAAAAATATTCGAAAATGCAAAGTTTTGATGTTTCTTTTGAACATCTTGGACCATGGTAAAATATTTAAGAATTTTATAATTTCATTTAAAGGAAAAATTGCAAATTTTGTTTGTTTTCGTTTTCCCCCACAGCGGCTTTCAAAGTCAAGCCGAGGGATTGAAAATGCATGGTGCGCGGTTCTTACCAATTTGCAAAATATTTCGCTACGAAAAGCGGAAAAGTTCCGAAAAAATGACTATGAGTGTTGTCATATGCATTTCCTGCTTTCGAGAAGTGGAGAACTGGAGGACTGAAAATATTTGCGGAGTAACTTCTAACAATGTCCAGCCAATAGCAGCCAATAGCTACAAAACGTAGGAAAAGGCGTCGTATTTGAACATATATCAGATTTGAAGATATACTTAATTTTTTCCAGTTATACGGTTGCTAAAGTCAACCTGAAGGGGTGAAAATATCGATTCGGTGACGATATCAATTTCTTCTATTAAAAGGAATAGTTAAGGTAGATTTGTGTGTGTCCGAAATTCGTTGTCATTGCGAGATATCGCGGTTATGAGTATATAAGTATTGCATCCTTTAAGGACTTTCCGGATATACAATCGTTACAAATTGTCTTTAATTCAAGTCTGTGTTCAAGATTATAATATTTTAATATGACTTCTTATAGTAGGCCATAAAAAGCCAATAAAGTTGTATTATTTATTTAATAACTATAGTCCACCATAATTTTATATATTTAACAATTATTTAATTTTAGTTCATTAATAGCAATTACTATCTAGTACTAAGTTATTATTTTAACTTAAAAAGTTTATTCCAGAAGCATTTTTATTCTTATTATCTATTTCCGAGGCGAGCTTGCACATTTCTTAATTCCGTTAAAGTTGCATTTTGCATTGTATGATGCTGATTTTTGTAAACTTGATTTTGAAGAAAGACCCATAAGACGTTATCAAGTACTGTTGGAAAAATATACTTTTTATCTGCGCTGACGAGATTTCTTCGCACATTTCTGGTAAAGTTATTTTCCAGTATTCAAAGAAATTTATTTGTTATGTTACACACTAAACGATTTATTATATGTTTTGGGCCGACCTTTGCGAAAAGATTCTTTTATCGGGTTGTCTTCATTCTGGATACCTATATAATGCATTTGTAAAAGTTAAAAAAAAAGTAAAATACCTAATTACATACCGATCTAGAGTGCGGGAGGCGTCACTTTACCACGTCAGTTTCGTTTCTCACTTCGGACATTTCCAGGATTTTTTCTACTCCCGTCTGTAAAATACCTAATTACCCATCGATCTAGCGTGCGGGGAGCGTCACTTTACCACGTCAGTTTCCTTTCCCACAGATCCAAGCCACTTCGGATATTTCCGGGATTTTACCACACGGGTCTGGGAGCAATCGGATGTTTAGGAAAATTGTAGTATACAACACGTTCGGTAAACTTTTTAAGTCACTCGTTTACTAAATATTCGCTCCTCTGCACTCCGTTCGTGTCAAATAAATTCGTGAGTCAAATGCCGTTTACCGCACTTGTTGCATAATATACTATTTTATACTCTCATCTGTAAAATACCTAATTACCCACCGATCTAGAATGCGGGAAGTGTCACTTTACCACGTCAGTTTCGTTTCTCATGAATCCGAGCCACTTCGGACATTTCGGGGATTTTACCACACGGATTTGGGAGCAATCGGATGTTTTCGGAGATATTTCCCACGCTTTGAATTTTGACGTTTGTCAATTCTGACAATGAATGTATTCGTGTCGTTTTGCGAAAATGTACCCAAAAACTAACGGTCGTAGAAAAAGTTTAGTATGCAACACGTTCGGTAAACTTTTTAACTCACTCGTTTATTAAAAACTCGCTCCGCTGCGCTCCGGTCGTGTCAAATAAACTCGTGAGTCAAATGCCGTTTACCGCACTTGTTGCATAATATACTATTATTATTCATTATACCTGTGCAAATTCAGTTCAGATGCTTCATCCGTTCAGCACAAAAAAACACAGAATGTCATATTTTTTAAAATTTCCCAGGTCTTCATTGACAGTCGACAATTTAATTAGCAAATTAAATGCCTTAATATAGTTGATCTAATCTGTATCTTTTTTCCAATCCTATTTAAATAATAGGCAGTAGTTCGTTAGAACTAATATCGGTGTATCAGATTTGGATAACGTCACTTCAGGAGTGGCACAGGATTCAATTCTTTGTATGTCTTGTACGCATTTGTTATGTGTAAGGAGGTCCAATTTTCTCAGCTGTTACCTACACACATTTAACTGCATTAATTAGGTAAACATCGCAGCTAATCTTAGTTTGGATGCTAAAAGTCTTTCTCAATATGGTTAAAAAACACACTCTTAAGCTAAATTCTAAAAAAACACAAATTATACTGTTTGCTCACCCTGAAATCTATATTTTTGTGTGATCGTATTAAAATTCAATTGGAAAATGAAGGTCTTAAATTTAGAAATGAAGCAAAAATCTAAGGAGTGCTAATGGATTGAGATATAGTGGACACATTTCTAATTTAATGTAAAAAGACATATATTCCTCAAAACGCTGTGTGCACTGAATTTTAAAATACGAAGAAAACCATGCCCGATTCATTTATAGTTTGAGAAAGTTCATTATACATTAGAAAAATATTTGCGTTGAAATGGCTTAAAACATACCTGTTTCAATTTTTACTCGCAATTGTTGTATTTCAACGCTGTGTTATCTATAATCCCATTAATCTTTATAATAATTATAATAAATATTTCGAGTCCAGCTCAATTCTAGAATCTGGGAAAAAGCTTAAGGTTCATTTCTTACAACTATAAAAGTATCTGTCCTAAACAAATGAATATTTTACCAATAATAAATTTTTAATTGAAATTTGTTTCATGACTTCGCTGTTTGAGGTGTGTAATCTTGTGCAATAATTTAAAATGTCTCAATAAAGACTATTTATTATTATTATTGTTACTATCATTATTGTTAATATTCAGTACTTTTGGTTACACTGATAATTCGACAGAAAAAGCGTTTTTTTGTTTCGATAAGAGGTAATTCTTTAAAATAAAAAATTAGAACAAAAATTGCACTTTTAACAACTAAAATTAAAAACGTATAGTAAAGTGTTATATATATTCGGAAAGCCCTTGCCGGGTGCAATTATACAGGGTGCCACATTTAGTAATACACAACTTTATAAAATTTTCAAAATCACATTTTGTTCAGAAACGCAGTGGGCATCTTTCGTTTAACAAAAAGTAGCACCATGACCTGAATGTGTTTAATAAACGAGTGACTTAAAAAGTTTACCAAAGGCATATATACTTTCTTACGGGTACATGTTTGCAAAACAAGTCGAATAGATGTCCGATGCGAAGTGCGGGAAGCTCAGCTTTACTTTGGGGGAAATCGGATGTAATGTAGTCTCTTATGCAGTCGCCCATCTTTATTCCTATTTTTATGTAACATACATTCCCTTTTGTTGCAGTTATGAAACTATTGACTTTTTTGAAATTATAATATAAGCACTAACATTATATCAGAAATTTGACACATTGAATAAACTAATTCGTTGGATGTTCGTTCGTTCGCTGAGTTGAAATAGTGTGCGAGCATACATTCGTGAATGTTACGTTTCATTCTATGATTCACAACACATTTTTGCAGCTGCCTCGGATGATGCGCCAATATTCTCAGTTATGGTCATACTTTCCAAACCTAAAATAAAAATGGTATTGGTTCAACTCTACCAGTGAAAAATTTATAAGGGTCATTTTTACAAATTTTAAAAACAGTTTTGTCGTTTTTCCATAAAAATATAAAAATTTAAAAATCGGGCTGGTTAATGGTTATAATACATTTAAGAAAGGTGCAAAGCAATAAAATCTTACTAGGCATGTAAAAGAACTTATAAAGTTAACTTATTTTTTTGAGTACAGGTAGTTTGGGTTTGTTGAAAATAGGATGCCAAAGGAAAGATTTCTTTTAACAAAATAAAAATTATGTTTATAGTATTAGGTACCCTTATTTTTCATTAAATATTATACAAAAAATACAATACACAAGTTAAATTATAAAAAACGTTCTTCTTAATCTGAGGAACTATCATCTCCTCTTGATGTTATATTGGTCGGCGGTCCGATCAGATCAGATTAGGATTATCGATACGCTTATTTAGGGCAACACTTCACCTTTTCACTATGGAATTTTTTATTGGAATCCGTGAAAAAATGTATCACCCCTACGACTCTTAAATTTCTCGTTTCTACAGAATCAATAAGATTCAGAAACCGTTCGATCTTTTGTTAGCTCGAAATATCTAACTTCTCTTTTAAAACCCTTAACGATATTCCGGTTAATTTAATTTTTACTAAAGTACCTGTTTCTGAAACTCTCAACATTATTTACCTAGTAAAATCTGAGAATCTGGAATGAAAGCTGATATTCTCTCTAATAATTTGCACCTTAGAAATATTAAAAGTACGC